GACAATTCAGGGCTGCATAATCCCTTTAAAAACAAACATTAGTGATGTGATGCTTTAAAGTCAGAACTTTTTAGCTTTTTTTAGCTCTCCATGCTCTGAGTCTAGAACATAAGATTTAAAGTGCCTTTTTGTCTGTTATTTTCACTACTGAATTCTTAGTGTCTAGAAGAATGTTTGGTACATGGTTGATGTTCAAGGAATTTGTTGGAAAAGTAAATGAATGAATTATGAGTCACTCTCCCAGCCAAACTTTCCCAAGAACCTCAAACTTCCTTGAATCAAGACTAGTCCAGAAGTCCTATAATCTCAACTGAGGAAGACGATCAACTTGAGTGAGGAAGGTAAAAAGCTGAGCAGACAGTTTATCCTAGACTAGCAGTGGGCACAATGAAGGCTCTTTGTAACAAGCTTTTCATCTTTAGGGCAGAGCTCCACCATGATAAGAAGAAAAACAAGGTATGCACAAGTCATCCCAATCTTAGGGCTTGCCTGGTTTCCCTCACTGCCATATTTTAGGCTTCACACTGGCTCTACTCCTCTGCCCTCCTGGATTCAGTACCTCTCTGGGTGTTCAGGACAGAAGAGCTTTATTCCCAGACACTCAGAGAGAGAAAGAAGTGAGGCAGTGGTAAGTATATAGCTATTCAAAACTCTGAATACAGGCAAATTGTTACTCAGTCATCTGTACTTTGGCTTCTCCATTGAAACAAACTGCTTCATATTTTAAGAACCACTTCACCAAGTCCACCAGGATCAGCAGACATTTGAGGGAAATAATCCAAGTATATATGAAATGAGAGCATGTGTTCCCAGTCATCAGGGGGCAATTTTGGAAAAAAAGACTGTCTGGAGGAAGGCACTGTATATTTTAAACTCAGTAGTACACAGGGTAGTGTCAATAGAGTGGGAAAAGAGAGTTGCAGTAGAGGCTGTACTGCATGAGATGAGGGAGGCTGAAGTTCAAGAGATGATTTACCATTTACAAGGACATTCATCTCTCCCCATCCCAACCCTGCTTCAGTCATTTGAATTACCCAGACTCCTTTTATAAGATGCAAACACCAAAGTGAGAATTAAAAGCAGTGGGTAGAGGTGTCTCAATGTAAATTTCTTCAATATGTCACTGTCTTGGCAGACATTTATGTCATTTATATATTGGTTTTGGTCCACAAAGAAGTACTATTTCTGTAAGAGGTGGGGAGAGATGTTAAAGGGCCACAAGAAACATAGGTAAAGAGTATGGGAAACAATAGCAAACATAAACTGCAGGGCTTTGGGAGTACAGACAGAGATGGAAGATGGTTAATAAGGATGTGAAACCAATGGCATATCCCCATTTCTTCTGAGGATCTGGCTTAGAAGGTCACTAATGACAAAGTTCTTATAATTTTAAACATAGCCTAGGGTTGACCATGCTGGTCATGATGTTAGAAAAGGCAATGTTTGCTGTCATCACATGGGGAACCAATATACAATGTGCTTTATGAAATGCTGACACTGCTTTCCCTGAGAGTTAGAAGGCATAAGGATGACTAGGAATTTCCTGTGCTGCTATCCTGGGACCACCACTTGTTTTAGTTATTGATAAGTCAGCCACCTCTTTACAAAATCATCTCACTGTTGTTAAATGTTTCCTCCCCCTGACTTTCCGCAGGCCTCCCAGTCATCCTAGGGTATTTCAGCAAATCTGAAAAGTCAGATTCAAGCATCAACTTGGCAATAAATTGCAAATAAATCAAAGCCAAGTTGGACAAATCAGCTTAACCTTTCAGTTTGATGCCTGAAAAGTCACCCAGGGATTTTCCTTTTGCAACTGTACATTAGTCTTCAGACAACTTCAAAAACAAAGTATTGGAATTGATTTGAGATCAAATATCCTTTAATAAGTTTTTTCTGAAAGATGGAGGGAAGATAAAATTGTCTCTGGATGCCCACAGATAAAGGCAAAGTTCAGGGGTCCCTTTTCTCCATATTCTTGCCAACATTTGTTGTTTCTTGTCTTTTTAATAATAGCCATTCTGACAGATGTGAGGTGGTATCTCATTTTACTTGCATATCCCTGATGATTAGTGATGCTGAGCATCTTTTCATGTGATATGCCTGTTGACCATCTTCCTTGGAAAAATGTCTATTCAGGTCTTCTGCATACCTGAAACTAATATAACATTGTATATCAATTATAATTCAATAAAAAGGGCAAGTTGAATAAATATTTGACCGAAATATAACTGCTAGATAATCCAAATGTATTTTATTACATTTAATAAGCACTTAAAATCCAAGTTGTAACTACAGTTGAATGATTGCTTTTGCTTTTAAATGTAAAATAAAAGGTAATTTTATATTTAGCTTACATTACATTTTGTTGGTTACATTGTTAATATGACAAAAATTTTATTATTAGCAAGCTATATTAACTATAAAATTTGAAATTAAAATAAGTTGAAAAATGGAAAAGTAAACAAAACTAAATATGGAAATTATACAGAAGGAAATTGGTTTAATGATATATTTTATGTCAACCTGGTTAATATATTCTATTAAATGGTTTGGTGTAATAAGCCTAAAATTTCATAATTTTGAGAGTCAAGGGCACAAACAAAAGTTCACATATAGTTTATATTTATAAGAAACAGAAGAGAAAGAATACTAAAAGAAACAAAAAGATTACTCATACTTTGATAACTAATTTGATCTTACAATATAACCTAACAACCAAACTTTACCTAACTTAACCTAATTTCATCTAACTTAATCTAATGCCTTACATATTCAATCTATAACCTGTTTTCATAAGACAATATAATGCCTGATTATTTTTAGGAATTTAGATCATGAGGAAAAAAGTAATGCCATTTTTGAGAATTCTGTTTTATTATTGTTCTGTTGTTTTAGCCTTTTTTTTCAATCAGTTCCTAGTCCGGGGAAAGATTCAGCGGTTTTTAAGAGTTACATTATGCTCATGAATTTTTATCTTAAAATTTTAGTGTTTTTAATCTACATATATCTGAAAGACAAATGTTAATAAGAGTTTTAACAATTAGCTTATGGCTTTAAAAGTTTTAATCTTTTGTCATTATTTTATGGTTTTTAATCTTTCTTAAATCACTCCCTGGTGCAAATTCAGCAACTTACAAAATGCATTGTTTCTGAAATTTTTACTTAAGAAGTCTTAGCATTTTAAAATTATCACATCTCTAAATAATTAAAAAATTGATTAAAACATACTTTAAGAATATTTTGGTTTTGTTTATTATGTGTGTAGTTGTGTGTAGTATGTATGCAGGATATTCATTTTCACTACTTACCTGAGCACAAGTCTTTCAAGCTATACCATGCTCAGAAGTTATGTTTAAGGTTTTAATATTCTTAAATCTATACTTCATTCAATAAACGGTAAGAGATTCTAAAGCTGTTTTTGCTGCTTTTGCTGTTTAAATTAGTTAAAAAAGTTTTCTTTTATATACTTTTAAATATTGATTTTAACTGCTTCTGAAGTAGATGCCAGCTTAGTAACTTCCTAGTTGCATTTTCATTCAAAGCATCATAAGAAAGTTATAGCATCTTGTAAGTTTTTAAAATGCTCAGAAAAGTTCTAAGTTGTGTGTGTGTGTGTGTGTGTGTGTGTGTGTATGTGTGTGTTGTTGTTGTTTTCTACGGAGTTATTTTGCTTTTATTTTTTTCCAGTTAGTTCCTGACTTGGGCACAAATGTAGTGGATTTCTACTTGTACTCTAAAATTTTATACAAATAATATAGTAATTTAAAATTTACACATAGTCAAATAATAAATAAAATATTAATGCAAGTGTTAGGAATATTTTTGTGGCTTTTATTGTTTTACAGTTTTTCTTTTTGTGTGTGTTTGTTTGCATTGGTTTAGTTTGGTTTATGTATTTTTTTTTCAATATGCTCCCAACCTGGGCACAAATTCAGCAGCTCTCTTGCTACATTGTGCTCCAAAATTAATATGAAAGCATAAGTAATTTAAAGTTACAGATCTCTGCTCCCTCCCTCAAAAAATGATTGATGCAAGTTTTAAGAAAGTTTTTTGTTCTATTATTGTATTTTTGTTATACTTTTGTCTTTTTGTTTCAATTTGCTTCTGACCTGGGCACAAATGGAGCCACTTTATGGTTGCACTGTGCTTCAAAATTTCACATACAGAATATTTATAAAAATTAGTCTCCCAAAAGAAAAAATAATTGAAAATTCTTAGAGAAAATATTAATTTCTCTTAGTTTTTTATGAACATTTGTTGTTTTATGTGACTTTCCATTTTGCCCTGTTTTGGGCACATACTTAGCAGCTTTCTGGATTTGACATTTCATATAAGAAATTTATTATAGTATAAAAAAGGAAAAGGTTTTAAAAGCTGACACTGCTGGTAACTGCAAATATGTAAATCCAGTTAATTTTCCATTTCTTCCCAGCAATATTCATACAAACACAAGTTATGTTTCTGCTTTTAAAATATATGCAATACATTTTACTTTTTTAAATTTGATACTTTTTTATTAATAATGTTAAAGTATGTTCTTGTACTAAAATAAACTCAATGACAATTCAAAAAGCAAAAAGAAGACTAGTATATATCAGTAGTAACACAAAAGGTTGTTTAAAAACAAGTACCTGAATTTGTTCTATATTTATAGGCCCAAACTAATTACCAAATATTGGAATGGAAATATATTTTTTCAAAGTTTTTAAGTAACCTCTGTATCACTGATGTCAAGGCTACTGTCGACTTATATAATGTGGTACATTGAATTTCCAGCCCAGAAGAACAGTTTGGCAATTCCTTTTGGCTGTTGTAATTAGATGTGACCTATAATTATTGAACAAAACAATATATGTATTACAATAAACATTCAAATAAATGTAGCTGATTATATTCAGTACATTAATCTATTCTTAATATCATTAGCTTCAAATTTTTTATTCATAGCATAGAAAAATCATAGAAGAAACCATATCTGGACCTAAAGAGACTTATTGTACCTAGAAGGTGGATTCTAGCATTAATTCACCACCATTATGTGTTGTTTGATCACTAACTTCCTCTTGAATAGCTGGAAGGGAAGGCTTTGTGGTCAGAGGTGTTTCAGTCTTAAACAGAGACTCCATCCTGATATGGGTATTGATATAGAAGGACTTCTGAAAGGACTCAAGGGTGAAGTAATAGATGAAAGGGTCAAAGCAACAGTTTAGAGTTGCAAGGCACAAGGTGATTGGATACATAATCTTTGCAAATCTTTCCAACAAGCAATTGGTAATGGCTTGGGAGCGCACCAGGGCATACAGGAAGAGAACAGAGTTATAGGGTACAAAGCATACCACAAAGACTGCCATATGCACTGTGATCATCTTCAGCACTTTTTTCTTATTAGTCCCAATTTGAGACAATGTAGCAGGCTTACGGAGGGTTTTTAGCACCACAGAAGAGCAAGAGACATTCAGTATCAAAGGAATGATAAAACCAACAACTTCAATAAATATGGTTATCTTGGACAGATATGTCTTCCATACACGTTTGGAGAAGCCCTCAAAGCAGGTGGTGGTTGCATTGTTGACATTAGTGGTGGAGAATAAAGAGGCTGAAATACCACCACTGAGGACTAGGATCCAGACTCCAGCACACACAATGGCAGAATTCCTCCTGGTCCTAATGGTACGGGATCGGAAGGGATAGACAATGGCCAGGAAACGATCCACGCTAATACAGGTAAGGAAGAGCATGCTCCCATAGATGTTGGTTAGGAATGCAGTCCCAGAGATCTTGCAGAGGGTATCACCAAAAGGCCAGTGGCGGTTGAAATTGTAAAATATTTTGAAAGGTAGAGTGCAGACAAAGAGCAAATCAGAGAGGGCCAGATTGGTGATGAAAATAGCTGTCTCACTTCTCATTTTCATGCGGAAGCAGAAGACGAACAGAGAGGCACTGTTGGTTATCAAACCCAGGATGAATACAACACTGTAGACAGCACCATTCAGATTATACTTGAAGGAATCATCAACAATGCAAGTATTATTGGCAGTAGCATTGCCCAACCTGGGTCTGAGGTTTGAATTTAAATCTTGGAATTGGAAGTCAATGAATCTTCTGTCACCCATGGACTTTTATTCAGGAGGCCTGCGGGCTGCAGGGTTCAGCACTCTGAGACTAAAGACTGGTAGGAAATGTTTTCCTCCTATGGAAGATAAGATTAAGAGTCATCAAATCTACCTTCCATCCATCTTTGTGGAGTAAAGGATATTCTGTTCACACAGACTGGAAATAACATGCCTATTCAGTTCAGTTTAACAAGTACCTTTTGATTACCTACCATATGTTAAAAGGTAGTACAAGAGTATCTTGCAGGAACGGGAGGGACCACACTCAAGGCAGTAAGCACTATACTGTAGCACTGCAATTCACAGGAATAAGGTATTTGTTCCTTGGGAGCCCTAGGCTAGCAGGGGTAGGGATATGGAGACTCTGATATTTAAAACAATGCTAATACTTGGAAATTTGTATAATTTTTTAACTTCAAAAATGTTTTTTATTTGATTCCCACAAAAACACCATGAGATAGGCAAGGCAGGAATTTATCATCATGTTGCAGAAGCAGAAACTGAGGCTTATATAATTTAGAAATACATAATGTCAGAATTGTAAGAACATGTAAATGGTATAGTCAGAACCAGAATTCAGGTGTTCTTTTTAAATTCCTAACCAGAGGATTATTAAGCTTCTCTAAATTATATTGTCTACTCTCTGGTATTACTAAACTTCATTGTTGAGTATTAGTTCTACTGCACAAGACTAAATGTGGATATGAGACCTCCAGGAAAACCTCTTTAAAAAGTTATAAGTAAACTCCTGAATTAAAATGTTGATTATATGCAAAACAGAAAAAGAGACACAGATGTACAGAACAGACTTGTGGACTCTGTGGGAGAAGGCGAGGGTGGGATGTTTCAAGAGAACAGCATGTATATTATCTATAGTGAAACAGATCACCAGCCCAGGTTGGATGCATGAGACAAGTGCTCCGGGCTGGTGCACTGGGAAGACCCAGAGGAATCGGGTGGAGAGGGAGGTGGGAGGGGGGATCGGGATGGGGAATACATGTAACTCCATGGCTGATTCATGTCAATGTATGACAAAACCCACTGAAATGTTGTGAAGTAATTAGCCTCCAACTAATAAAAATAAATGAAAAGAAATTTAAAAAATAAAATAAAATAAAATGTTGATTCATCTTTTCTTCTAAAATACAGGTTCAGAGAGCAGGAATTCCTCAGTACATTAAAACTTCTGGCTGAAACTTTTCTCACTCCATTACAAAGCCTCTATAGAGAGAGAATTCAAATGATAATTGCAGTGTTTCTCTCCTTTAGATTGTGGTCCCTTACCAAGTTTCTTTCATGCCAGACCCTGAGCCTTGGATATTGTCTTACTCCCTCTCCCACTGCCCATTCCATGAGTTACATTCATGCTTTTAGCTTTTAAAATGGCCCAGGTCAATAAAGCCTTTTCTACCTACATAAAAGTGAAATATGAAAGGTAGATTTGAGTTGAACAGCTATTCTTGTACACGTGGAGGTCACTGACTAATTATCTTTGTTGGATATCTGAACCAATATCGTTCAAAGGTGCATATAGAAATCTTACTAACATGCTCCTAGGTCAACAGCTGCCATTGGAGGACTGTCTTCTGAATGCTCTATAATGCACTATGAATAAGTTGCAGCTGAATGAATTCTTTTCAATGAAGAGGATATGGAGTGAAAGTGGTCTTTGTTCCTGACATACCCAGTAATGAGTTTGCACATGATTATATTTTAAAATGTGAAAGCCATTTCTCTGAATTGATTCCTCCTTATGTCACTCGTTCTTTCCAACTCCTGGAACAGGTCACAGGACCTCATATATAACAGAAAAGGGAGTGGCAGGAGGAATCTGTCGGAGATATAGAGGTCTGAAGTCACTTCAACCAGTGGTTGGCCTGAGGGAGGAAAACACGATTTGAGAGAGACAAAAAAAAAAAAAAAATTCACTCACTGTAGTGCCTAGAATGAGAGCTGACTTTCGAGAAAACAGAGTGCAAAAAAAGTGTTGGCATTTTTAATAGCAAAGTTTAAAGTTAAAATTGGAAGTGTGCTGTTTCTGAATTCTCATCTAATGAGCTTTATGGAGTGCCTCCCCTGAGTCTAACACTTCTGTAAGATCATATTCCTTCATGGCCATTTCATCTCATATGCGATGGCTCAACTCAAAAGCCAGCTCAACTTTTGCCAGAAGTGACCTTAATACATGAAAGCAGGGTATAGTAAGAATCTTGACAAAGAAAGGTCCAGGAAGAAAAAAAAAATCCAGACAAGGAAGAAATAAAAATAGATGCGGAGAGCAGAAGTGGGAATAGCAAAGAAAGTAGCAGAGAATGAAAAATAGAAGAACTGAGAGAAAAGGAAGAATAAAACACACAAAAAAGAAGACCTTGTTGGAGAGAGGTCACTATTTCCATCTAATTTGTATTAAGGGCTCGGAAGATAATTCCTCTAATTCCATCCTCTCTACCTTGCTCCATCTGACTTCTTCCATTTTTCTCAGAAAAAAACAGTACACAATGACTGCTTAAGGTCAATGAATCTAATATGAAAAAGAAAAACGAAAAGCCAGGAAAATCTCAGTCAATGGCATTCAAACCTCACTTTGAGAACTGTAAATCTAAGTTTCTACAGATTGCTTCACCAAGGGGTTGGCAGAAAGGAAAACAATGGCAACTTCTCAACTGCTTAAACCACATTATATACCATTTTACACCCAACATGCTACCCATTTGTTTGGAAGTCATTTCTTTTTAATGCTGAAAGAAATCAAACTAGTCAAAAATATCCCTCTAACATAATCACATAATCTAATGAAATTATGGGACTGAAAAACCCCTAACATTAAAGTCAAGCCTCATTCACTATGATTTGCTTGCAATTGCCTTCTACAATAAGTACTGTCAATAAATTTTATTTGGAAAATGCTTTCATAATAGAAGACTTTCCATATTTGCTCAGAGTCCCTCCAGTCTGCCCACTGGTGATCCCTTTCCAGAGTATACCTCTAGCTCACTGGCTCTGTATTATTTTGTACTTCCCAAGATGGCATGTTTCAAATAGCTGTTTTCAAATAACTGTTTCAAAAATCCCCAGTTTTCTATTCAGTTTTATATCTCTTAGAACATATACACTATATCCACAGCAGACAGTCTGCAAATGTCTGGCACTTCTGTTCTTCTGCTTTGCATGACCAAGTTCTATGGGAGAGAAAGGAACAAAGACAATAAAGCATTACAGTCTCAATCCTGAAGAGAGAGCATGGGAAAACTGTCACTAAGGCCCTATTCATAGCTTTCCCTTGCTCAAACACACAGCACCTTTTGCTGTCTGGCGGAGAGGGTGTGGTGCTGGGATTTAACACAGCACTGGAAGCAAGGAGTTCTATTTCTGATTCAGACATTGGTTTGCTCTGTAACTTGGCTATACAGTTTCTCTTCCCTGTATAAACATTACCTCTAAGCCTCCCAGCTGAGGCTAGGAAGATTCAACAGGGTTTGTGAGTAGCTTTATGAGCTTGCCCAGCATTCAGTCCTACCTAACCACAAAGAAATATTACAGGAGTTTTTTTTTTTTTTTCATTTTCCTTCATCTAACACAGCTGGACACATGTCTCTGTCTTTCTTGGTATGCTGAACTTCATATTAGTAACACATCTTCCTCCTAACACCTCCTAACACTCTACTTCAGAAATCTTCCCTTGAGTTTCTACCTTAACTACACAATTTTATCATAACAGGACAACCCAGGAGTGTATACCAAAAGGAATATCTTCCCACTGAGCTATGGTTAAAAAAAATCAGAGAGGCATTTGACTCTTAAAACTAATTCTGAAGAAAAAAATCAATGAAAGAGAGAAACGAGATCTCTTTTCTAACTGGCTTTCTTTTCTTTCCACTGAAATAAACAGTGTTTTTTTTAACCACTATATTTTCCTAAATGGCTAACATATTGTGTACTGAATGGAGGCAAAAGGCCAACACTTGAGCTTCAGAAGAGATGAAGAAGAAAAAAAAAATAGACTGACATAGTTAATTACATCTTTCACTGCAAGTAGCATTAGACTATTATCTTGTGAAGACTTTTACAGCCAATTATTATAAATTAATCACCTAGGGGTTCAGAGTGCTGAGTGGATGTATTTTCAGTGACAACAGGCAGGAAGCAAGTTACCTGGAGGTTGGCCAAAAAGAAATCTGACCTTCATGAATTTTTAACTTTGACCTACACATATGGAGCCAGTTCAGACAGTTCACAGTAGTGTTCACAATGTTTTTCCTTTATAAAAAATTTCTAATGATAACGAAATACAACATGCTTGGGGTCTTTGGGGCTCCTGGAGGAAGTAGAGTTAGCCCTTTTTTCCTGTAAAGATGAATATCTAAATCACTTTACTAAGTGCTAAATTTTCAGATGATACATTGAAAACAAAGGTCTAATTTCTGGCATATTCCCAGTAGCCCAGAAAGGCTGACTTGCCTTTGTTCCTTACAGAAGACAATCCATAATTCAGGGAGACAATTCAGGGAGACAAGGCCTTAAAGAAAGAGAATACTCAATTTTCCTTGCTTTGCTCCCTTTTTTTTTTTCATTTATTTTTATTAGTTGGAGAAAAAGAGACACAGATGTACAGAACAGGCTTTGCTCCCTTTTTAATGAGCTTGAGTCAGATCAGAGTGCTTCTGATCCCCAGAGCCATTTCCTCTTTCTACTCTAGTCGAAGCTTAGGACACTGCCACAATAGTTTTCAGAGGAAGCTGAAACCTATTGGGTCTTTGTCTATAAATATTTAGCAGTGAAGCAAACTAAAAAATACAAAAATGTTGCAAAAATATAGATTAAAGCTATCCCACTGGAGTAATAGGGAATATGTCCAAATTGCCATTCCTCAGACGAGTGGCTGCTAACAGAGAAGACTCCTTAAGGAAATCTTCTGGGCCAAGTCACAAGCACAGGTCACAATCAAACACATGGTTCCAATTGATGTTTCTGTGCACTGGTTACTGTTTTATAATAGTTTT